TTTCGGAAGATATGTGGTCCAAGTTTTCGACTTTCTTAATTCATCATAACATAACGTAGAGACAAATAATGATTTTCATAGAACTGATTAGTGTTGTAACATAGGCAAAGAGTGTTGGCACGTAGGAAACGTGTGACACGTGTCCGTGTATGTGTTTGTGTGTGTGTGTTTATATTTTTTTCATATACCCATTTGCTGATACGGGTCCTTAAATTCTTTTTATTTATAGATGATTCTTTTTATTGTATAAGGATCATAAGTCTTTTTTGAATGTTTGCCTTTACTAGTATTTGGTGTCAGACAATACAATAATAGCATAAGTATCATAGACACCTGTGACAGCTACTCACGAACATTACCAAAATACATCGTGAGCAGTTGTGTAATATTACTGTGATCCTTTTACTGCTTATATATCAGGATAGAGCATAATTAATCAACAAAAATGTATGTCTTAAAGAACACTGTTGCCTAAATAAACAATATACAGATAGATAGATAGATAGATAGATAGATAGATAGATAGATAGATAGATAGATATGAACGGTGCATTGAGGCAACTTTAGTATTTCTTAACTTATTATTTGTATTATTTTATAAATATTTATATATATATATATATATATATATATATATATAGAGAGAGAGAGAGAGAGAGAGAGAGAGAGACAGAAAGCGACAGAGATATAGAAATGATCTGGATAAAGAAATATGATCAACCATATATATATATATATATATATATATATATATATATATATATATATAGTTTATGAAAACTAGGTAATCCTTTTGGTAAAACCTAAGGAGGATAAAAATCCAGAGAGCTCAATGTAAATCCAGAGCAAATAATTTAGATAAAAACAGACCACTTTAAGGTTCCATCTAATAAATTATTTCACCATTTTTTGTTTGGAAGTAAAGTCTGATGATTCGCAGTCCTTTAAAAAGCCTGTGGTGGTATAATTTATTACATGGTACCTTAAAGTGGTCTGTTTTTATTTAAATTATATATATATATATATCTGTGTGTGTGTGTGTGTGTGTGAGAGAGATTACATACACATACATTTTTGAAAATAAGTATTTAATCAATGGTGTCGACAAAACATTGCTCAATGTACTTAAACAGAGCAATAAAGTATATACTAAAATTACAGATATACCTATTACAGATATAGCCACGTTTACAGAATGACTCAGAGTTTCATGGCTTTGCCAATCGTCAGGTACAAAAAGTTACGAAATCGTCCTGATGATTAGCAAAGCTATGAAACCTCAAAGTCGTATTAAACGTAAATATATATATATATATATATATATATATATATATATATATATATATATATATATATATATAGGGTAGGCTGTGTGTGTATATATATATATATGATTTCTATACATATTATATATGCACGGTACTTATTGAAAAGTGTTCAATATCAGTGATAGAGTTAAGATATTCATTTGTATAGATATGTGTTTGTGACCGTGAGTTTCACTCTTTTGCGATCATCAGACAATTAGTCTGAGTATATACACACACACACACACACACACACACACACACACACACACACACATATATATATATATATATATATATATATATATATATTTACAAATTCATGAATCATTCATACAAAACACAAATATAGAGGTTAATGATTTAAATGGCGAGAATACATCTTCGCAAACAATATCAATAAGATACACCAACCCCGTACCTGTATATGAATAATATGATCCCTGTTTATAAATTCCAGTTGCATAAGGTCTTTTTAATTTTTTACAAGCTTTCGTCTGTTCCTACAGACATCATCAGGTATGGAAGTAGATTTCGTTCTTGTTTTTACATATTGCTATATTTGTACAAAAACGCACAACCTTAAAATTTAAATTCAAACTCAGCGTTGCGACTGCACGTTCCAAAACAATAACACATTTCTCATAGCATTTTTTCGGATTACATCTCTATTTTCGTTGTCCTCTTATTACCGAGTAGTAAAAAACAAGAACAAAATCTATTTCCATACCTGAGGATGTCTGTAGGAACAAACAAAAGCTTGTAAAAAATTAAAAAGACCTTATGCAAATGGAATTTATAAACAGGGATCATATCATTCATATACAGGTTCGGAGTTGATATATTGTATTTATATTGTTTGCGACGATGTATTCTTACCATTTAAATCATTATCCTCTATATTTGTTTTTTGCATGAATGATTCATGAATTTGTAAATTATAATTGCACCTTTTAATTGAAATATATATATATATATATATATATATATATATATATATATATACTGAATCTTTCCGTCGTTTTAGATGTATGTGGTACAGCAACTCATTTCTTAGAACCGAACAGCCAGACTACTACCATAATGGCTGGTGCAGAACTAAACAAATCTTTTTGGAATAGTCGAAAGCAGAGAACTGGTACCAGAAGTAGTCATGGTTTAGCAATGGATAGCGGCTCAGATTGAGAAATCAGAGAGCCGAGTTCGAATTCTAGTCGAGTTCATTAGAACCACGTACAAATGCCCTTTATAAATCCATTTCTTCTCCACGCCCCAGGTTATGCGTAAATAGCCGGACTGTGTGGGTCCTGTAGTCAGAAAGTCAATTCTAAATTCACAAGCTGAGACACTTATGTATATTTGACAAATAGACAAAATAGTATTAAGCAAATCTTAGATGATCAGCCTAAAATTTTATATAGAACACAATGCAAAGAAAACCTCCAAATTCTGGAGGCTGTTGTAATAAAAGAGAAGCAAGCAATGTTGAAAGAATGTGTCTTTCTCTACAGGGGACCCCATATTGGAGGCTGCTTAAAACACACATACAAAGGGAAAATTCCGTTTGACTGTTTATATGACGCCATCTTGGATGAATTGAAATTGATTCCATCAAACGTGAGTGCGTAGAAATGAAAAAATCAATTGTGCAACTACACACAGAAGCATCCTTGAAAACGAATGGAGTAAAATAATATAAAATAAAAGTTAATATGAATTTTGGCAGATCCACTGATAAAAACAAAACAATTCATTCGGAAATTTGAAAGATTCAATAAAAAACATTGATAGGCAAAACTTGCAATATTATTTAACAAAATATGTTTGAGACAATTCTTGCTGCCGAAATACATCTTATTTAAATACATACATACATGAATTTAAGCGCAGCACTAGATTAGCAACAAGGATCAATCTCTTTAAATTCGAAAAGGTTAGATGTAACCGTAAGTTCTATGCTAACAGTTTCTTTTCTCGCACTTCTCGGTTGCGTAACTCCTTTCCGGCTCCATGCTTTCCGGCCGACATTGAGCTTCCAAAATTTAAATGCAATGTCAATCGTAATTTTTGTCTTCTTGACTACACTTTTATTGTCCTCGCTCCTTTAAAATGCTTTTGTTTTCTCATTCTTTCACACACAGTAACCACTTGCGTCTTAGTGGCTTTATTGCCTTGCCTGGGGTAAATTCGATTTTAAAAAAATTCAGTTGTAATTCAACATTGAGAGAAATGAAGGTATGCTTAATTTTAATTTAATTTGAATTAAATTGAATTTAAATTTATATTTTATTTAATTAGAAATTATTTTTAATTTAATTTAATTTTAATTTAATTTAATTTAACTTTAATTTTAATTTAATTTAAATTTAATTTGATTTTAATTTAATTTTAATGTAATTTAATATAATCTTAATTTAATTTAAATTTAAATTTAATTTAATTTTAATTTTTAATTTTATTTCATTTAAATTTTGAATTTTAATTTAATTTAAATTTTGAATTTTAATTTAATTTAAATTTAAATTTTGAATTTTAATTTTCTGGATTTGATCAGTCTGATGGTGTCTTTGTTCCTTCCTCGAAAGCATTAGATATGTCAGGGCCGAAATAAATGTCTTCACATTCTTAGATTAGATTTTACTTTGAGGTTTCAGTATACGGAAGAAATGATTCCGTATTTTTTTTTTTAAACATTACGCCCCGAGCAAAGCGTGAAGCCACTAGGATGCAGGGGGTTGCAGAAGATTTGGAGCAAGAGCAGATAGGAGTGATAGAGGAAAGAATGAGGAGAAGGATAGCGGATAGATCAAGGCAATTGGAGATGTCGATTGATATTACATTTTGAAAGTTGGAGATAATATTTCTCAGGGAAACAGGAATAGGGAAAGGAGTTCCACAGGCGAGAGGTGCGAGACATGAAGCTATTGGAGTAGAAGAGACGGCTACATTTAACAGTTTCAGCAGTGAAAGGGTGGGAGCGGCATGCCAGCATCGTAGGGCGCTTAAATTCATGATGGGTGTGACCTCAAAACAAGGGAACTGCAGGTAGAAAACATTTGGGGAGATACTAGCTTAATGGATAGTTAAAAAAATTAAATATCTTCTCTGAAGTCAAAAATTTATCTTCAGCTGTAAGGATGTAGCATTGATTTAAAAAAAAAAAACATAATTTTTTAAAAAAGAGATAGCTCCGTTTGAATTGCCATGTGAGTGTTAAATTTTCTGTGCCTTCTTTCTCAAGTATTCAGGAATTTACGGTTGTTGCTTTTTTTTTATCAAGACTTTATTTGTTTCCTCTTAGAAGAACCTCCGCACTGTTTCTGATGTTGTTCATGCTAGACTCACAATATTCGTAGTCAGAACGAAATCTTGATTGACAGCTTTTTGTTTTATTTTTTCCTTCCGGCTTTCATTTTTTTTTATGCCTTGTCATCAAGTGTGCATTTTGGTGCATGCGCACTCCCTATTTCCATTTCACTCCATCGCCCACATCTTTCGGCACGTTTGCCTGAATTTATTCAATTGGCTGCCGGCAGAATTTTTGTGAGACACATAGAAAGGCGGCTTTTCAAGTTCTTCTTTGCCCCGTTGCGAAAAAGGGAATTTATCAGCCGGTCACCTGACACAGAAGAAACCATTACTGATAACAATTCCGGAAGGCATTTTGTTTTTTTGCAAAACTTTTATTTCTTCATGTTTTTTGTTTTTTTTCAGTTTCCCGCCTACCGATGTTTTTTTTTTCTTTTTCTTTTCTTCTTTTTTTCCCAAGTTTATTCCTTTGCACTTTTATTTTCATTTTATTCGTTTCGAACGAATTTACTCGTTTCATTCTTTCTTTCTTTTTCAGTTATTTCTTTCTTCCTTTTCTTTCTTTATTTTTAGCTATTCCTTTCTTTCTTTCTTTTTAAGCTATTCCTTTCTTCTTTCTTCCTCTTTCTTTCTTTCTTTCTTTCTTAGGTATTCTTTTCTTTTCTTCCACTTTCTTTCTTTCTTTCTTTCTTTTTTAGCTATTCCTTTTTCCTCTTTTTCTTTCTTTCCTTTTTAGATATTCATTTCTTCATCTTTTTCTTTCTTTTTAGCTATTCTCTTTTCCTCTTTTTCTTTCTTTCTTTCTTTTTTAGCTATTTTCCTTCTTTCGTCTCTTCTTTCTTTTTTTTATCTATTTCTTTCTCTTTTTCTTTCTTTTTTCTTTCTTTCTTTCTTTTTTCTTTCTTTCTTTCTTACTCCCTTTCTTTCTTTTTAGTTATTCTCTTTTCCTCTTTTTCTTTCTTTCTTTCTTTTTTAGCTATTTTCCTTCTTTCGTCTCTTCTTTCTTTCTTTTTTATCTATTTCTTTCTCTTTTTCTTTCTTTTTTCTTTCTTTCTTTCTTTCTTTCTTTTTTCTTTCTTTCTTACTCCCTTTCTTTCTTTTTAGCTATTCTCTTTTCCTCTTTTTCTTTCTTTCTTTCTTTTTTAGCTATTTTCCTTCTTTCGTCTCTTCTTTCTTTCTTTTTTATCTATTTCTTTCTCTTTTTCTTTCTTTCTTTCTTTCTTTCTTTCTTTTTTTTCTTTTTTTTTTTTCTTACTCCCTTTCTTTCTTTTTTAGCTATTCTCTTTTCCTCTTTTTCTTTCTTTCTTTCTTTTTTAGCTATTTTCCTTCTTTCGTCTCTTCTTTCTTTCTTTTTTATCTATTTCTTTCTCTTTTTCTTTCTTTCTTTCTTTCTTTCTTTCTTTTTTCTTTCTTTCTTACTCCCTTTCTTTCTTTTTAGTTATTCTCTTTTCCTCTTTTTCTTTCTTTCTTTCTTTCTTTTTAAGCTATTCCTTCTTTCCCCTTTCTTTCTTTCTTTCTTTCTTTTCAGCTATTGCTTTCTTCCTATTTTTTCTTTCTTTTTTAGTTTTTTTTTCTTCTTTTTCTTTCTTTCTTTCTTAGCTATTCTTTTCTTCCTCTTTTCTTTCTTTTTAAGCTATTCCTTTCTTCTTCTTTTTCTTTCTTTCTTTTTAATCTATTCATTTCTTCTTCTTTTTCTTTCTTTCTTTTTATGCTATTCCTTTCTTCCTCTTTTTCTTATTTTCTTTCTTTCTTTTTTAGCTATTCCTTTTTCCTCTTTTTCTTTCTTTCCTTTATAGATATTCATTTCTTCATCTTTTTCTTTCTTTCCTCTTTTTCTTTCTTTCTTTCTTTTTTAGCTATTTTCCTTCTTTCGTCTCTTCTTTCTTTCTTTTTTATCTATTTCTTTTTCTTTCTTTTTTCTTTCTTTCTTTCTTTTTTCTTTCTTTCTTACTCCCTTTCTTTCTTTTTAGCTATTCTTTTCTTCCTGTTTTTCTTTCTTTTTTTAACTATTCCTTTCTTCCTCTTTTTCTTTCTTTCTTTTTAGCTGTTCCTTTCTCCCTCTTCTTGTTTGTTTGTTTGTTTGTTTCTTTCTTTCTTTCTTTGTTTTTTTTCTTTCTTTCTTTCTTGCCCTCTCTCCTAACTTTCCTTGGCTTCTTTCTTTTTTCTTTTTTTCTCCTTCTTTCTTCTTTTCTGTCTTTCTCCTTTATTTGCCCACTCTCTTTTTCAGCTTTTTATTTCTAGTCTTTCTCTTTCTTTGCCCTCTCTCCCGCCTCTTCTTCTTTTCCGTCTTTCTTCTTTTGCTTTGTCTCTTCTTCTTCTTCTTCTTCTTCTTCTTCTTCTTGAGTTTTTTTTTTACCCTCTCTCCTCACTTTCTTCTTCTTTGTCTTTCTTCTCTTTCTCAACATCTATTTTACTTCCTTTTTTTTTCTCTATTCCTTCTTTATCATGTCCTCATTTTTCTTCCCCCTCCCCCCACACTCGTTTTTATCTTCTTTTTTCACCAATCTTTTCTCTTTTTATTACTTCACTTTATTCTTTTCAATATGGTTGCCCCCTCCTCCTTTTTTTTTCTTTTTGAAACATTGTTTTCATTGGAAAAAAATGACAATATCGCCTAATCGTAAATCTTCCTTTTAGTTGTGTATGTCTGAATAAGGACTTTATTCGGTTTTTCTAACGCGTGTTTTAGTTTCTTCCTCTTCCTTTGTTGCCTCTTGGACGTGATAATATACTCGGCTTCAGTTTTGACAAAATGCTTGCGGAAAAAAAAAAAAATATCGTCTGTTAATCTCACTTCTCAAGAAGTGCAAAACCGAAGTAAAGATAATGGCGGAGACGAAGAATATAAAAAAAAGAAAAGCATTGGAAAGAAGAAAAAGAAAAAGAAAACCCAAGAAGGAGTAGAAGAAAAAGAAGAAGAAGAAAAAGAAGAAGAAGAAAAAGAAGAAGATAACGGATAAAAAAAAAACAAGAAAAAGAAGACAAAAAAGGGGAAAAGCGAAAAAGAAGTAGAAAAAGAAGAAGAAAAAGAGAAGAAGAAGAGAAAGAAGAAAAGTAGAATAATCGGAAGAGCGATCAAAAAGAAAAAAAAGAAAGAAAAAGCTGAAGACGAAAAATAAGAAAGAGAATAAAGTAAAAAAAGAAGAAGAAAATGTCACGGAGGATCCGAATAGATACAAGAGAATTGAGGAAGCAGATATATATATATATATATATATATATTCATATATATATATATATATATATATATATATATATATATATATATATATATATATATATATATATATATATATATATATATATATATATATATATAAACTAGACTCGTTTGAAAAACCCTCGAATTTTTTGATTTGTTAATCAAATCAATTTCGAGGGAAAAAAAAGGTTTTAAAAAAAGAAAGAGCTACAAACATGAACTTCTGCCGACAAAAAAATCGCATAGATGCAGGTCTGAAGCCCAAAGAAAAAACCCCGATACGAATAACAACTAACTAACAAAAGAGCTCAATACAACCGTAGCAGACCTAGATACACCTAGTGAGCCAGACAAACCTACCTAGGTTTCACCTAAACGGATCGTCAGGAAAGTTTCCTGACGATCCGTTTAGGTGAAACCTAGGTAGGTTTGTCTGGCTCACTAGGTGTATCTATATATATATATATATATATATATATATATATTTGGTTTAATAGCACGAGTGCTCAACCCGTGGGTGAGCGAAATATATGTGAAAAGTGTGTGTATATGTTAGCTCTATCTCTGAGCGCTTTCTAACAAGTACCGCGCATATAATATATAAATAATTATACATATATATATTTATTTATATTTATATACACACACTTTTCACGTATATATATATATATATATATTCATATATATATATATATATATATATATATATATATATATATATATATATATATATATATATATATATATTTGGTTTAATAGCACGAGTGCTCAACCTGTGGGTGAGCGAAATATATATGTGAAAAGTGTGTATATGTTAGCTCTATCTCTGAGCGCTTTCTAACAAGTACCGCGTATATAATATATAAATAATTATACATATATATTTTATTTATATTTATATACACACTTTTCACGTATATATATATATATATATATATATTCATATATATATATATATATATATATATATTTATTTAATAGCACGAGTGCTCAACCCATGGGGAGCGAAATATATGTGAAAAGTGTGTGTATATGTTAGCTCTATCTCTGAGCGCTTTCTAACAAGTACCGCGCATATATATATATAAATAATTATACATATATATATTTATTTATATTTATATACACACACTTTTCACGTATATATATATATATATATATATATATATATATATATATATATATATATATATATATATATATATATATATATATATAAATAAATTTGTAAAATTTTTCTGATGAGATGGACTTCTGAAGACCAGGAACTAAATTATCACGAGACCGAACGGAATTTTAAGATTCGGTATTCATTATGGATAGAAATTATTTGGAAAAATATTTAATTATAGAAGCCTCAACAGAATACAAGACAGGAACTTTCTACATTTGGAATCCATCAGTCGTACTCAACCGCTACCTAGTGTTGGAACCCGGACAGTTACGTTATCAGGTAAACGTCATACGAACTGTACAAACGGAACTCGTTGACGAAGAGGTAACGAATTAGACTCGATATAGCGCTGCTCGATCACATATTCCGTGGTGGAAATCATTTGAGTTTCACATTACCATATAGGACTGTGCCCCCCACGAGCCACGACTACTGTCCCCAAGTAGCTCCATCCAGAGCATTTACAGCCAGTTCACGCAAGGATATAGAAGTGATACAAATTATTAGAATGATTTGAGATAATTATAATTAAGTAATTCATCGAGTCTAGAAGGAACCTTAACAGAATGGAGAAAGCACTGGACGGCCGTTTCGTCCTATATTTGGGACTCATCAATACAAACTCGACAGTTATATTATTAGGCAAACGTCATACCAACTGTACAAACAGGCCTCTGTGACGAAGAGGTAACGAATCATATATATATATATATATATATATATATATATATATATATATATATATATATATATATAAAAGACATTTTATGTTTAACGTTCTTTTTTATAGATATAAGTATTTAAGTAAATGCTCATGTTTATAATAAACAGTATTAAATAACATTTACCGGCCTGAATGTCCGAGAAATTTTCATAGAAAATATTCGCCCTTTGACAGGATTCGAACCAGCTTCCTATACGGAACCGTCATTTACGCTGGCGTGCCTTGACCGACTCGGCCACAAAGGAGCGTTCGGGAGGCAAGGTCAAATTTATGTTCTTGTCTCCTTGTTTCTATTCCATACCTGAGGAACAGACGAAAGCTTGTAAAATAATAATAACTCATGCAACAGAAATTTATAGAAACAAGGATCTTTTCATTCATATACAGGTTCGGGGTTTTTTTTATAATATTGTTCGCGACGATGGATTTCTCGCCGATTAAAACATTAACCTTTGTATTTGTTTTTTGTCTGAATAATTCATGAATATATATATATATATATATATATATATATATATATATATATATATATATATATATATATATATATAATGGACTCTCCTGTCGGTTTCGACGTATGAGGATCTTCACGAAGGAATGAAAGCTAACATCGTGTCTGATGGTATGATGCCGGAATCCTTTAATGTCACAAATGGATGGCACCAAGCAAGGTTGTGTCATTGCCCCTGTCCTTTTTGCCCTTTTCTTCTCGCTGTTGCTGAAATATGCATTTGCAGACACAGAGAGTGGCGTCAAGTATCAATATATATATATATATATATATAAATACAAATATAGGTAACTATACTCGTTTCGAAAAGCCCTCGAATTTTTGATTTGCCAATAATCTAATTAATCTCGAGAGAAAAAAAAAGGTTTTAAAAAAAGAAAGAACTAGAAATATGAACGTCTGTCGAAAAAGATCACACAGATACAGGTTTGAAGTCCAAAGAAAAAACCCCGACACGAGTTAACAACTAACTAAAAAGAGTTCAATACAACCGTAGAGCAGACCTAGATAAACCTAGTGAGCCAGACAAACCTACCTAGGTTTCACCTAAGCGGATCGTCGGGGAAAGCTGGTTTTCCCTGACGATCCGCTTAGGAGAAAACTGAGTAGGTTTGTCTGACTCACTAGGTCTATCTATCTATCTATCTATCTATCTATCTATCTATCTATATATATATATATATATATATATATATATATATTTGGAATAATATGGTATATAAATTTTCAAATAAATTTTCATATAAATTAATGACGTTTGTGCGTTTATATTCTGTTTTCAGCCCTCTTCCTAGGCATATATAATTGCATCAACAATAATATTACTTTAGTCCGATGATTTCCTAAAGGAGAAAATACGTACCTCAAATCTTTTGACACATGTAGAACTGATGTAACAGCCAAATTGTACAAATCGTGTAAAAGCAAAATTGTCCAGTTGTTAGATTCAGTTTTAACCGTTGTATCTTAGAAATGATTAAAGATATCTTACTGGAATCCTCCGAGATTGGACTCTACTTTGAGCAATAAGAATGTATAATTACTCTCCAAGCTCGAAATTGAAATGATGATCCCTCTTCCTGTTGTGACATCCTGATCCAGTTTTCTTCCCTATTTTTCATTTTTAAAACTTATTCACCATACTCTTGATAGTTCTTGAATGGACTTTGAAGAAGGAAACAAGAGTCTAACTGTTGTTACCATTACTGACGGTCTGAATGATCTTTTTCCTCTCACCATTGCTCAGTTGGGAAGGCGGTTAGTCTAATACAAAAAAGATTTTAACCTGTTCTCTTTCTAGCTGAATAACTCAAAGGGTTTTTTCAGTGATTCTTACGACAACCCGTGTGAAGATGGCTAAACGTCTCATCTGGAAAAAGAAAAGTTTAGTGTAGGCTTAGATATTAAACCTTTTGTGTGATGGACAATTGTGTTGTTTCAAGATCTATAGAATTTTATAGTTTCACCCAGCATATGTAAGCATATATATACATAAGCACTTATATATATATATATATATATATATATATATATATATATTGACTATATGTGTGTATTTGGGAGAAAGGTAACAAGAACAAGAAAGCCATCATAAAGAAATAAAAAATAATAAAATAATACACAAAGATATAAATATGAATACACACAAAAAACATATATATATGTTAAAGTAACGCGAACTGACAGCGTCTAAGAATTTGAATGAAACCTGTCGTGTAATTTATTGGGGTTGTTGTAACGTCTTCCTTTAATGTAGTTCTTATCGTTCACCCCTTAACCACCTTTATCTAGAGACGAGACGCGTTAAATTTGAGCAACATCCAGCCGACACACTGGGGTTAAAATAGGAAACTAAATGATACATATGACACACTCATATCCTCTCTCCCACCTCACTCCCCTCACTTCTTTAACTTTGCGTATACTTGATGAGGTCCGTAAAAACGTGTGAATTTCTTTTTCATTTTTCATTTCAGCTTTTGGAAGTAAGTCTGATGATCCAGAACCCTGTTAAAGGGGTTATGGTGAAATAGCTTATTACATGGAATCTTAACGTGATCTGTTTTTTATTCAATATATATATATATATATATATATATATATATATATATAATATGAACCTAAAGAGCCAGGCAAACCTGCGTGTAGGTTTCACCTACGTGGATCGTCAGGGTACCCTGACGAACCGCGTAGGTGAAACCTAAATAGGTTTACCTGGCTGTTTAAGTTCATAGTTAAATTTGCTCTACTTAGCGTATTGACCACTTTGCTTAGTTATTTTTATTTTACTCGTGTCGGAGTTTTTTTTTTCTTTGGACTCTGAGTTTGGATTCTGGTCGATTATTTTCGCCAAAATTACACGTTCCTAGTTCTTTCTTTTTTTATTCCTTATTTTCCCTTGGGTATTGGTTTGTTCATTTACAAGCCAATACACCTAAGGTTTTTCCAGACGAGTATACTTACTTATATTTATAAGATTATTATTATATATATATATATATATATATATATATATATATATATGTGTGTGTGTGTGTGTGTATTCGTGTATGATTCTTTCAGTTTATCGATTTGTCTTTTGTTTATTTGTAACGCAACGTTGATAATGGCTTCTGTCCTAATTTCATGTAATGGACGTAAAAATAAAAATACGAAATAAAGTTATGTCGAATAGAATCCATAATATTTATATAAAGATTAAAATAAAGAAATATATTTGTTTTCAAAAATGCCTTATGGTTTGTTTGTTTTTTTTTCTTTTGTTTTCCTTACAAAATGGAGAAAATTGCTTTTCGGAAATACTGGCAATTTACAAACTTGTTTTTTTAATAATAAAAAAAAACAGAATTAAAATAATAACAAAGAAAAATAAAGAAAAACTGTTACATCGATTTCTAGCTTAAAAATTACACGGTGGTATTAGTATTATTATTATTATTATTATTATTATTATTATTATTATTTGTATTTCATTAGTATGAGCCAAATTCATTCAAAATCCAATGACAGCCGTCCTTTTTAAATCACCATTTATTCCACTATTCGTGTTTTTATTTTATTTTCACATTGAATAAACCTTTACTTTAGACTGTCTTTTTTCTTAGCGGAATCTCTTCTACTTCCATAAAATTTCCTCGGAGCCTCAAGACAGCATTTAAATAACTTCCCTCGTCTTTAACAGAACCATTCAATCTTTTTATTTTCATCCAGCAAGAGTGTAAAAATGGTTTCTTTAATTATTATAACACGTCACAAAAAGAAGGGTAGACTATACGAATAACGTATTAGACCCGCCATTTGCAATCGTTATTGTAAGTGTTATTTCCCTGTTGCTTATTAATGGCATTTTATTTACATAAAATCTGTTTGGAAAAAAGGCACTTCAAGTTGATATTTACATATTGGGGACGTTCAGTTCGTAAGAATGCAAATATTGAATTGTCTACGTAGTGTCGTAAAAGAGAATATGATAATAGAAATGCAAATGCACTTTGGAATAAAGAAATCTGTACAGAAATGGAAACGGGTATAGGATCTTCTTAAAATTACTGGTCCGCTCAGGATTTAAAAAATATGGTTTTATAGAATAGCGTTCAACAGATCTTCTTCAAGCCACGACATTTTTTTCAGAATCGAAAAATATTTTATTTTATTTATCATTTTAGAAGTGCTATCCTGTTCATAACTAAAATACAGGGCTTAATCGATTCATGACTTCCCTGCCTACTGAAGGTTATACCATGTTGAAACACAGGTTCTCGTACGATCACTGAAGTTAAGCAACGTTGACCCTGTTCAGTACCTAGATGGGTGACCGTTTGGAAATACTAGGTGCAGTAAGCTTGGATGTACCATTCGTATTGATTACGGCTATATTAAGTTGAAAGACCGGTTCTCGTCCAATCACCGAAGTTAAGCAACGTCTAGCCTGGTCAGTATCTAGATGGGTGACTGCTTGGGAATACCAGGTGCTGTAAGCTTAGATGTGCGTGTGGTGTGGTGGATAACAGCTCGGAATTGGTAATCGTAGAACCGAGTTTAAAATTCCATTGCATTCCTTATATTCACTTGCGTGCAAATATCCTTGGGAAAGTTATCAGTCCATTTCTTCTTCCCCCCAGCTATGGATTAATTAGTAGGACTTGTATCAGTAAACTATTATTACCTCGAAAAATTCTTAAAATTAAAAATATTTTCTGTCTTTAAATGTCCGGCAAATGGTTGATAAGCAGCAAAAAAGTAATCAGTCAATAAAACTTGCCTTCTCAAAGATACGTCTCTATTTTGTTTTTAATTGCAGATGTCAAGTTTGAAACTGGGATTATGTTATTGAAAACTGGAATGTGTGTTATAAAAATGAATGTGGAAAATGCTGCAAACCTGTATCCCTTACTGTAACCTAAGAGCGAAGATTTAATAGCTAATGTTGTGTTCGAACGGCCATTTCTCGGTAAGCCTTGATTTTGAGCCTTTTTATAGCGACGCTGGTTCTGGCTCAGGGCAATAAGTATCGAATGTTCTAGAAAAAAAGAATTGAAAAAAATTGCCTTTGGATTATTTTCCATCCATAAAGCAGACAAACGAATTTCAAACAAAATGATTTGAAAAAAATTACTGAATGATCCTGATTGTCGAAATAAAGACGAGGTCGCTGGAAGGTTGAAAATAACTATTCATACGTTATTAGGATGCATAGTCATACAGGCATGGAGATAGCTTTAACAATTAACAGTTGCAGCTGACGGCAAGAAGAAAATTCCAAAACTCCATGTAGCTAACCAAAGATACCGGATGAAATGAAAAACTATAATTTTTTTCTGAAATTAATTAAAATCCAGATCAAGACTCGTCACCTAGGTTCGAACCCTATTCCTAATTGTGCCTTCCTCGCCAGCAGCATTCTTCGCTATTGCTACATTTGGTATCATCTACTGGCAGGTCACGGCATTCACAACTATAAGAGAACGTTGACTGTATACAAAGGACGTTTGGGGCTATATCAAGAATAATTCTTGCTTTTACAATAATTATTCTTTCTTTACCCAGCTTGGAACTCATCTATCCGGATCGTGATTCCTTAAGACAGTCCGATGTTATGTTCAGCCTCGTTCTGGCAAATCCTGCAACGACGCCAGCGACAGGCTGTATTCGAGGCTAACTTTCCCTTAGACAACATCGGTGGAATGGAGAACGGAAACCTGTTGCACGGGCAACCGCCGATCTCTCGTAAAACCTTTGCTCAGGACTGCACCATGGTGTTGACACTCCAGCGTCGCCTGACCGCGACGGTAAAATACGGGAAGCAACAATCCACCGATGGCAGGAGTCCAAAGGTCCTTTCTGTACGAGGAACAGGCAAGAGGGAACATAGAGATCTTCTTCGCTTCAAGGACGTATTCAAACGGGACGAGAGGACAATGAACACCGAGAGGTGAGGAAGACGTCGTCTACGAACTCTTACGCTATTTACACCGTGGGCTAGTGTGAGGAGAGAAAAAACGGACTCTGGCCGCCGGGGAGAAGCGTACTCGAAGGAAAGAAAAAAAAAACATGGCAATATTGAGGGAGAGTGTCTTCACATATATTATTTGCAATCATGATTGGCACTCCCTTATGGGCCTGTACATAAGAGATGCCGCGCAATCATCAGCAGCGAAGCCTCTCCCACATAATTTGTGAATACATTTTTTCTGTTCAATTCACAGTCAGAAAATCATTTTTTTTTTCTAGTGGGCCTAATGACACAATTTTTTCTGTATGGGACAAATTCAAATCCTATAGTGATATTTGTTTACACTATTTACTCGTCTTTGTCGCCATATTTATTACAACGTTTCGGCCGTTGTACGCTCCAGCCTTCTTCAGTATCTGTCTATGTTTGTGAGATGAGGTATAATGTACACTATTTACATTATTCGGATTATTATCCTCATCTTTGTCGCCATATTTATTACAACGTTTCGGCCGTTGTACGCTCCGGCCTTCTTCAGGTGGTTGGAATGTTGAACTGAACCGTTTATTTTCTAGTTCCACGTGCCGTATTATGTCAGTTATCATTTATCTCCTGTTAATTCCCCTCTCCAAGTTCTCCACTGCCTTAGCCGTGTATTGAACTCACACTTTTTGGGTCCTGTCACTGGATCTAACCAACGCCTATATCCACTGTGCCATGTCCTTGAGGACATGTGGGTATGAATTTGAGGTTTCTCCTACCTTCATTTTTTCCCAGTGCTCATATTGCAATTTTTTCTGTTATCATTGCATGTTTTTTACCATAGCTCATATTGCAATTTTTGTTGTTATTATCGCTTTTCTCTAGCACTCCTTACGACTGGTTCCCATATTGTATTTATTTCTTTGCTTGATCGTCTCAGGTGATATTTGTGGCCTAGCATATGTGATGATTTCTTAAGTTTATGAATTTTCTACCACAGTGAGCGAAATAAAGGGTTTAGTTCGACATTCCAACCACCTGAAGAAGTCTGGACCGTACGACGGCCGAAACATTGTAATAAAGATCAGGACAATAGTCCGAATAATGTAAGTAGTGAACTAAAACAGCACCAAACTGTCATATCTCTTCTATATAATAAATGCAAATGTCAGTGTGTCATTGTGTCACGCTTTTCCAAATTTATTCCTAGAGGCTGTAGCCGAGTATATGATACCATTTTGGAATAATGCCGACTTCGTGTGAATTTCGAGAGGGGAATAAACAGGAGATAACTAATAACTGACATCCATTAAAAACAGGACACGGGGAATTAGAACAGTCTACAAAAGAGATCGAAATTAAGGCTTCAGATCCACATTCCAACCACCTGAAGATAGACGGAGCTTACAACGACCGAATAATGGAGAATCGGTACGTACCCGACCCACTGAAAATATGGTAATAAATATGGCAAAGAAGAAGAGGATAATAATCCGAATAATGTAAATAGTGTTCATAATACCTCATCTCAGAAATATAGACAGATACTGGAGAATCGTTATGGACACGATCCACTGAAAATATGGTAATAAATATGGCAACAAAGATGAGGATAATAGTCCGAATAATGTAAATAGTGTACATAATACCTCATCTCAGAAATATAGACAGATACTGGAGAATCGTTACGAAACCGATCCACCGAAAATATGGTAATAAATATGCCGACAAAGATGAGGATAATAATCCGAATAATGTAAATAGTGTACATAATACCTCATCTCAGAAATATAGACAGTTACAGATATTTGTTGTTTTTTTCTGTTTTTTTTTTCTTCAAACGTGGTCCTGTATTTTACGTCAGCATTTTGCCGCTATCAGTGTTTTCATTACCTGAAATTCGATTTCTCTAATTACCTTCAATACTCTTTATCGGATATCTCATAACAAGCGCTAACAGCATTTGTTGCCATTTAGCGAGAACATCCGACTTTCGCTCCTTTGTATTAAGTTCCTGATGCATCAAACGAAGCGCGCGAAATGTTTAGAATTCATTAAACGAAACAAAAATGAGAGAGAGAGAGAGAGAAAGAGAGAGAGGGAGAGAAAGAAAGAAAGGGGTATTGGAGAGAGAAGGGAATTGAAATACACTCGTGTCTTCTCCGAACGAAATCCATTCGCGAAGCCTTGTTTTGCCGTCGGCGGTTTATTTGTCTGACGCAAACCAATTTCATATTTCGGCACGATTTCTATTAGCATGGCTAAACGACGACAAGAATTCCAAATAGGCAGAAAGGAACGTTATCAGCAAAAGGCGTCCATGTTCGTTATGTTTCTTTGCATTTCAGGATTTCTTTCTTTTTTTTTTTTTTTTGTTTCTTTTAGCGTTTCTTAAACTTTTGCGATGTGGGGCATTAAACATTATACGCGTGATGCTTCCCAAAAATGGCGACAGAAAGAAACGAACAATAGGGAAAATGTTGTAAAATGAAGAATGGCATACAAAAACAAAAAATTAACTCCAAAAATTATGTTGGCGTGTGTCGAGAGAGTTTAAAGAATGAAACTCGATTTTGGTGGCTAAATGTTGAAATCGCTTCTCTTCCATTTGAGTAACATATTCATCCGACTCAGATCAGGGCTATGTATTAATATCGAATTTATTTCTCTATCTACCTATCTATCTATCTCAATCAATTTTATATAACTATCATCCAAAAGTCTTTCTTATCTATCTATCTATCTATCTATCTATCTATCTATCTATCTATCTATCTATCTATCTATCAAGATCGATTGATCGATAGATAGATAGACAGATAGATAAACAACAGACTGCGTTAGACATGAACACACTGATATACATACATATATATATATATATATATATATATATATATATATATATATATATATATTATTTAGTTTATACAAACTTAGGTAATCCGTATGGGTAGACCTGAGGAGGATGATATCCAGAGAGCTCAATGTAAAATTCAGAGCAGATATGTTTGAATAAAAAACAGACCATTAAGATTCCATGTAATAAGTTATTTCCCCAGTTAAAAGGGGTTATGGAGAAATAACTTATACATGGAGATCATGGAATATATATATATATATATATATATATATATATATATATATATATATTTATATATATATATATATATATATATATATATATATATATATATATATATATATATATATAATTGATTTGAAACATGTTTTTCCGCTACACAGTTCTAACCATGTTTCAAAAAAATAGAAACTAAAAAACCCCAATTTAATTTTGCAATTAAATTAAAAGCATTAGTTCATTTCATCCTCAAGCGAATGCTTTTAATTTAATTGCAAAATTAAATTCGGGGCTTTAGCTTCTATTTTTGAAACATGGTTAGAACTGTGTAAAGTGGAAAAAAACATATTTTAAATCAATTAATTTATAATATTAATGCTCTGTAAATTTACATTGAGCACTATTTTGTAAAAATAAAATATGTATAAGAACATCGGATTATATATCTTACTGTTCTTTTTTCTTTATATATATATATATATATATATATATATATATATATATATACAGAACTGTCTTCGCTATATATATATATATAGAGAGAGAGAGAGTGAGAGATAGATAGATAGATAGATAGATAGATAGATAGATAGATAGTCTATTTTATCTATCTATCTATCTATCTATCTGAGATAGATAGACAGACAGATAGATAAAGAGATAAAATTTAGATAGATTCATAGACAGATAGATAGATAGATAAAACTGAAACTGAGATAGATAGATAGATAGATAGATAGATCGATAGATAGATAGATAGATAGATAGATAGATAGATAGATAGATAGATAGATAGAATCTTTTGAGATAGATCGATAGGTGAATAGATGCATGGATGCATGCACGGACGGTGATAGCGTCTCGGACTGAGAAATAGGAGTGCCGAGTTCGAATTCCCGTTGAATCCATTACATTCACTTACGTGGAAAAGCTATGAATCCTATTCTTCGCCCTCTTCCAGTTATGGGTAAATAGCAGGAAAGTCTGGGTTCTATAGCCTTAGATGGCAATTAGTCCAAGAGAAGGAGAACTCTGACTTCAAAACGTGCAGAGTGTCGTTTTGGGACCTTGTTTCACGTGGTGCACCAGGTCTCTGTATTCGGCCCTTCAAAACGTGTGGTTGCTTCTGCACAAAGCCTTCACCACTATAGTCAAATCATACGTGCAGGTCTCTTGGCTGTCGGTTCCGAGGAACTGGGTTGCTTGACCCTCATACGTCGTAAAAACGACGGGAGAGTCCAGCATATATAGATGTATATATATATACAGGGTGATAGAATAGTAACTCCCTATTTAATGTGTGAGTGACCAGCCAGGAGTCCTGACATAACACCCTGTAACTTATTTCTTTGGAGGTTTATTAAAGAAGCAAGTTTACTATATCAAACAAAGACTTTGGAAGATCTTGAAAGGCAACGAAGTTATGTCTTCCATAGCACAAGATTTCCTGGCAGAATCAGTTGAAGCGAAATCTAGTAGCCATATCGAATTGTAAATAAAAACTCACGCTAAAAGCTTTCCTTTCATATCAAGTTTCTGTATAAATTATTGTTAATAACTAAGTAATAAGTATCTTAAAATGGGGAATTATTTTCAATCACCCAGAGCTGTTTGTTGTTTGTTTGTTTGTTTCTTTCTTTCTTTCTTTCTTTCCATCTATCTATCTATCTATCTATCTATCTATCTATCTCTCGAAAACAGTTCTCTCTCTCTCTCTCTCTATATATATATATATATATATGTGTGTGTGTGTATGTGTGTGTGTATGTGAATATCAGTCTGTTGATGTCTAACGCAGTCTATTGTTTATTTGTCTATCTCTCTCTCTCTCTCTCTCTATATATATATATATATATATATATATATATATCAGTCTATTCATATCTATCTATCTATCTATCTATCTATCTATCTATCTATCTGTTTCAGTCTGTTCTTTATGTATGAACATATGTATCTCTCTACCTCAATGTCAGTTATCTATCTATCGATCTATCTTCTTGTTTTTTTACATCTATTATGTATCTCTCTCTCTCTCTCTCTCTCTCTCTATCAGTCTCTTCACATCTATCCATATATCTATTATAGTCATCTATCTATCTATCTATCTATCTATCTATCTATCTATCTATCGCACTCTGTTCTTTATTGATGTACTTACTTATTTATCTCAGCGTTTTTTATCTATCTATCTATCTATCTATCTATCTATCTATCTATCTATCTGAGCAGAGACGTCTAATTTTCCGCTCTAATGAGATTTATTAATGTTTATTGACTGCAACGACCGCGACTTCTGCCCCCAATGTTGAAATGCTTTCTTTTGAGTCAAAACAAAATATTGATTTCCAGTCTTCATATTTAAAGCAACCATTATAAGAATATTTTAAAATATCGGTAAAATTATAACATTTTGCCTATATTTAAAAAATATTCTTTCCTTTATGTCGTGCACGAAATTTCGAAAAATCTTCCATATTTATTCCAAAGGGAATAACAATGAATAATCCCTGTGAGAACTCCAGAACGCACCTCCATCATTCGTGATTGCCTTTGAGGGCGCGACCTGGGATTTTTTGACGTTATTCAAATGCTAGGAACAAAACAAAGTCTTTCTTCTTTAGTTTTCGATATTGATTAAAACAAAATATGTTTCAAATGCGAATTAAGGATGAAATCCTTTAATATCTGCGAGTTACCAGATTAATTCTTGCTGATGAAGACAAAAAGAAAACGTGTACAGTTTTTTTTTATCAGAAGCTGATTAAAGGCTTCAAAAACTGATATGATATTAAATACATCATTCGGATTTATGTTTTTCTGATAATATAGAACATGAACATAAAATCTTCTTTTCGAACTGTCTTCTTTATTAATAAAATTCGATGAGATTCTAAGTAATTACTTAACGTCGCCTGAAGAAGTACAATCAAAGTATTGAAACATGAAATCTTTGTGTAACGATTTCAACATTTTTTTATTATAATCGCTTATACTGCTACTACTACAATAATATATATATATATATATATATATATATATATATATATATATAGAAATGGACAAAGTCCGACAATTATTTTTAAGACATTTTTTATGTTTATACATTCTTTTTATAGACACAAATATTTACGTAAATGCTCTGTTTTATAATAAACAGTATTAAACAACATTTACCGTTCGAGAAATTTTCATAGAAAATATGCGTCCTCCGAAAGGAATCGAACCTGTATCCTTTACGGAACCATCATACAGCCTGACGTGCTTCACTGATTTAGCCACAGAGGAGCGTTTCGGTTAGCAAGGTCGATTTTACTGATTTTAAACTACAATTTTCCATGATTTTCTCTCATACATTCATATCTACTAGATGCGTATCCAAATGTAAACAAATGACGTCACACATTATGAAATGGACAAAGTCCGACAATTATTTTAAGACATTTTTTTATGTTTATTCCTAGTTTTTATAGGTACAAATATTTAAGTAAATGCTCATTGGTTAATACTGTTTATTGTAAACAGAGCATTTACTTAAATATTTGTATCTATAAAAAGAATGTATAAACATAAAAAATGTCTTAATATATATATATATATATATATATATATATATATATTACACAAGGCATATTTCGGCAACAAGAATTATCTCAGATATCTTTTGTTAAACAATGTAGATAAATTCTGTTAATCAATTTTTTTAATTAAATCTTTCAAATTTTTGAATAGGTTGTTTTGTATTTTCGTTAAATATGACAAAATTCATATTAACTTTTATTTTGTAATATTTCATTTCCGAGTACTTTCTAATCCTGGTACATTAGTTTTCATGGATTTTTGTGTGTTTATTGACGCAACTGATTTTTAATTCAGGCCTGACAATTTCAAGTCGCACGAGGTGACACCATATATACTATCAAACTGAAATTTTGAAAAATTTACCCAGCACGCAATAGAATAAATTTGATTAGATATATCAAACGGGCGCGCAGCAAAACATAGACACACACGCACACACACACACACACACACACACACACACATACACACACACACACATATATATATACATATATATATATATATATATATATATATATATATATATAGATACACCTAGTGAGCCAGACAAACCTACCTAGATTTCACCTAAACGGATCGTCAGGGATAGTAACTCAGAAACAGGTCTAGTTATCTATATTTGTATATATATATATATATATATATATATATATATATATATATATATATATATATATATATATATATATACACACACACACAAATATATATATATCTATATAGTGTATTGGGGCAGCAAAAAAAATTCCAAATATTGGACAATTTTTCTCTTTATTTTCACCTGAAATTAAAGCAAATATACGAAGTTTAGAACGGTTCATGATCCAAACATAATAGACATTCGTTTTCTGTTATATTCAACAATATATATATTTATATATATATATATATATATATATATATATATATATATATTCATTATTATTATATGGATTAAAATGTATATAATAAATATGCATTATATATATATATATATATATATATATATATATATATATATATATATATATATATATTATATGAAATGTATTGGAATTTATATAATTTACTATTTTAATATAATTACTATATATATTATATGGATTAAATCCGACAAATATTTTAATATATTTTCTGTTTATACTTTATTTTTA